GAAAGATCGCGTTAAGGAAAATTCTGATGTCATCATTAATATGTTTCCTTATTCAATAAAAGTATGCATGTATTGATCTGTCTTGTATCTATGTAAACTCCATATCGAATATATTCCCGTTGAGATTGAAAACTCAAGGATTTCTCAACAAAGAATCGTGTGATCAAGTGTTTCCTCTTTGAATACCTGTTTGGTTCATACGCGAATAAAGAAGAATCGATAAGACTATATATAAACTACCGTCATAAATCGTTATCCTTTATCTCGTATCGATGACTTATTTGATCAGCTTAGAGGATCCATTGTGTTCTTTAAGATTGACATATGGTCATGATACCAACAAATCTCTGTTAAGAAATTCGAACATACTGACGATCAAGAATCGCTGCCCTTTGCTATGAATTAACGACTTATTCGGTCAAATTTAAATAACCTTCTTGTTAGAAGCTATAGACCGCTCAATCTTGTTGAATGAACTGATGCTTTGTTATGAAGCAATTAATAACCTAATTGCTTATCATCGAAAACGTCGATGTAGTCTGATTGAAATAATGAAGTAAAATGAGTGACTCGTTCGTATACCATATTAACGTGAGACATTGCAACATGGTGACCATACAAAACAAGATGTGAAACAGTGACACCAACAGTTAAAGACCGAAGAATGAAGAAAATGTAGCTTGCATATGGCTATCCATTGATGTTTATGGATAATATTATTTCAACACAAAATACAACTTGGATTACATGATGAAAGTTACAGATGCAATTCTAAGTCTAATCTCTCAGGATTTACAAACTCGTCGTAGCTAGCCCCAGGACCTGGGAAAGCTTTAGCAAACTCTAGTTTGTCTAAAAGCTCATCAACAAAGAAAGAAGAAATGAAAAGTTTCCTCTGACTCAAAGACATGAAGTTCTGCCTCACCACATCATCTAGAAATTTGATTAGGTTATTGAAATAACCGTCAATGTTCAAAAACCAATGGGTCTATTGTGTTACCCTTTAGAAGCCCACGAGATCAAGGTGAACAAACCTTCCATACGTCTATTAACCGTACGTAGGTCAATAGACACGTCGTGTTGCTATGTACCAAGGAATGAAACCTCTAACGAGACCACCATTGGTAAAGACTGTTGAAGCAATTGCTCCTTGAAGGCCAACATTGCTTCCTCCATAGGCAAGTTTAATCTTTCGCCTTAACAATTCCCTTCCTAAATCTACCGCAGTAGCCATAAACTTTGGATTTCTACCAAGAGAATGACTGCCAAGTAGACCAACAAATCTTATGGTGTAAGGAAGTGTTCGAGAAGTTCCTTCCATAATGTGAGAATGTGAGATACTCTTTCCATAATCGTCATATATATATATATATATATATATATATATATATATATATATATATATATATATATATATATATATAGTCTCAGAAACTTGACCATTGATGGAAAAGTAATTATCACCGGCCAAAATACGTACAGTAAAATGGATTCAAATTACCTGCAGACGAGAAAGTACTTGCTAATACTATAGTCTGCTAACGATATGACGTATTGCGACTCTTGAACAGTTAGATTCGATGTCCTGAAACACGTTCAAATCTGAGACGAAAAGTCAAAACAACTATTTCCTAAGACAACGACCTCTTGAGTAACTTTCAAATAGTGAAAATTTGAAGGGAGAAAACCTACGATTAGTAACGGTAATTCACAAACGTTATCTTTATATCTTGTGACTCATATCCTTGAACTACTCAAACTTATTGTGTTAACTACATCCTTGAAACATCTCACTTAATCAAATCTTGAAAAAATTGAATTCCATTCTTTGTATCAAAATAATAAAACCACAATTCTTCATCAGACGAAAAGATGCTTTATGATATCGATCTTTGAAAACTATACCTTGTAGAGTACGTGACTCGATCACAATAGTAAAATTACCCTAACTTGAACATTATGTTGAATCTATCTTTGTGGATCACAAAACAATCAATACAATTACGTTATCTCTGAAGATTATTATCGATGATCTTATTGACCAAACAAACTCCGTTATAACCCTAGCAAGGAAATGTGTGTGCAACAACCAGAGAAGAAATGACGTCACAAGAACAAGCTGAATCATTCAAGCGGAAATCTCGAACCTATATGCGATGTTGGTGTAAGCACTAGTAAAGATTCCTCACTCTATGAATTCATGAATTAAATCATGTACGGAAGATATTCTCTTTTTCCCTCGAAACGAGATCAACCATAGTGTTACAATCGAACCTGTCACTATCATATCTATATATGTTTTCAAATTAATAAAAGAAATTTGAATACGACAAGACGTACACGAGACGATACTCGAACGTTATCACGTATAAATAAGAATTGGTACATAGACTCATTAACGATAATGAGAACTACTACGAAGACGAAGGAAGATATATTTCGACAAGAGATCGATAACGGAAAGCTACTGTACAACCAATCGACAGTACTTCCTCATAAATGATGACAAATTCCATATCTTGAAAATCTTGGACCACTAAAAGCCATTGATGTACTTACGAATCATTGTTGAACTATGTGAACGAGATGAAGATGACTCAAGTAACTTGAGAAAGTTACGCTATGACGTATGAATTAAACAACCTCCAAATCTTCCACTACATCTATCGCGAACTGGAAACTGCAAATGCTACTAAAGGACTTTCAAACAAAGGAAGAATATCGTTAATCGACGTTGTACAATTGAGAATTGTGAATGAACGAAGTGATGTGCAAGTATGTCAAATATGCCTCAAAATACAATGTTATACCCTGCAAAGGTATCTTGGTTATGGATGTTTAATCTGAACGGGAACCTACAAAAAGGATCGTTGGAAATCTTGCTTAAGCTAAGATTGTTAATCTCTTGAAGAAAGAACGAGTTTGATAACATCGAGAATACGTATCCGTGTGGATAATGACGTAATTATAGTTTAACCTTACGCAGTCATGCTTGTCGTAAATACAAAAAGATATCGATTGTGGAACCTCAAAAGAATTTCGAGGACAAAATTTCTTTTAAGGGGGGAAGAAATGTAACGCCCCAAAACATACCCTAGAATTATTAATAAATAATCAATTAATCAAATTGTTTTGATTAAAAGTAATAATAATAATAATTGTTGTTGGGCTTTGGGCCAAAATCAAATATGTTTTAATATTCAATATCAAAATCTGGATAAGTCTCATAGAGATAAATCTAATATGTTGACTTATTGTGTGACCTTAATTGGGAACCTGAGTACAGATCCAAATCAAGGATAAATGAAGAAATTTATTTATGATATGAACTTTGAAATGATTTAATGAAATAAATCATGAGAATAAATAAAATGAATGAAATGTAAGAACCTTTTTGAATAAAGGTCAAATAAATGAATTCTAACTCTGTTAAAGTCAACCATCCAAAAATATAATGCCGGAAAAAAGTATTACAAATAAATATAAAAATTATACCGTTGAATAAAGTTTGACTGTCTGATCACAACGGTGCAAACGAATTTCAATTCGGAGAAAGTTAGATCAAAAAGTGTACCCCGACTAAGATCAATTTAGTCCCAATCAGGGACTTGCGTTTGGAATCATTCAAATAACTAATGAAAACGCACAAACAAATAAAATTTTTGTAATCTTTAAATAGTGAAGTGTGATATTTTCTTTGAGACGGAAGAATGATATGATGAATTGTATGGAAAACTAGATTTATTCTAATTTCTTCTAATTACAATAAATTTTATTGGTTTGGGAGTTAATGTGATTAGTTTCAAACCAATTCACCCAATATTACTCAATAAAGTTAGAGGTTAGCGTTATCGTGTTGAAAAAGCTTTCTAGCGGCAACATTTAGTATTATCATATTCGAATTTGATCTATACCATTAAATTTAGGTATAAAATTAATTATACTTGACTCGATTGAATTTAATTTTATCTAATTTCAACCTAAAACACTCAAATAATTTGTAAAATTTGCACTCAATTGTATTAATCTCATTCAATTCTATCAATTTTTAGGAGTAATATTAAATATTAAATAAAATTACTTAATTTCACCTAATTTCACTCAATTTTTACTAAATTGTGTTCAATTGAAACGTAACACTATTTAAATTTATCTTTTACCTTTGCATTTATAAACATAAAGATATTAGTAGATGCGATAAAAATCTGATATATCAAAATTAAATTTTAAAATAAATTTAGTTATATTAATTTTATATCTTAATTAAATATATATTTTTTCATAACTTGTAGTCCAAATTTGTAAAATATGACTAAAAAGTCAAAAAAGAAAGACGATTTACGGTGGAGATAGTATAATTAGAAAAAATATAAAATAATATGCGATGTTGAATTGATGATAGATTGATAAATGTGATAAAACAAAAAAATGGAAAATTAAATTTTAACTAGAAATTAATATATATCCAAAATATATTCGATCGAAACATATCCGCACTAAAACATATCCGAAATCGATATATATTCGAACCGAACTAGATCCGAACTCGAAACATATCCGATCCAAATTGAATCCGAACCGAAATCTGTCTGAACCGATTTATATCCGAATTGACTCGAAACCGAAAAATGTATAAAGCCGAATCAAATCTGAACTGAACCTATTATAACATATATCTGAAAGATACTCGACCCGAAAAAATCTAATCCGGAACCGATCTGGTTGACCCAATTGCCACCTCTAAGTATATTTTGTACCAAATCCATTTGGGATATTAAATTTTCGGGATACCCCAAATGTACACCACCCCACCTCTTTACCATTCATTTTATTTTGTTTTTATTTTTACTTTTTTTTGAATTTTTCTTGCCTTTTTTATGTGGTGATGAAGGGGGTGGAGATGTTTGGGTTACACTTGTGGTGTACCCTAACATTTTCCTAAATTTTCACATAGCAATAGAACAGTAGTCTGTATGTGTGTCTAAATGCGTCGCCCATCAAGATCAAGAACCCAACTGAAAATTTCATTCCATCCTCTTCCTCCCGATGCATCATCTTTCTTTCTATACTTGGACCCAGCCAAAGAAGAAACAAAGAATGTGAAATGTACAAAGCCAACAAGCCTTAGAATGGGATTTTCCTCCACCAACATTCACCCGCGACCTCTCAACTGAAACACTCCCTCTATAAGCATTCGTTCCCCTTTCTTTCTTTTGTGTTTTTGAACTGAAGATTTCTTCATTCCAGCCTCTGAGAGCATTATTTCAAGAGAGATCTTAGTTTGAATTCCAAGAAACCCAATCGGCATTGTGAAGGGGGAGTTATGAAGGGTTTTGGGTGGGTGGCTGCTTTGCCTCTCATCTGTTTCTTGATTCTTTATCATCACCAGACTAAGATTTGTGTTTCTGCCAGTGTCCGAACTGAGAGGATTGAAGGTAACCATGAACTGGCCTGGTTTTCTGCTTTTAAATCGGATTATTCCTAGGTTTTCTGTCAGATTCTTAGAATTTTTTGTATCATAAAGCTTCTGAAACTTATTTATAATGAGATGTTGGGGCAGTTGGGCTCTCCTTCAATTCAGTTTCTTGATTGGGCTGCTATGCCCAGTGTTGTTGACACCCATTTCAGTTTCCCATTGAATTGCGTATTTGAATTTCTTCTTTTGCTCAGATTTCTGGTAGTTTTGTGTCTGTCTATCTGAATCCAGCAGTTGCCTGTGAATTTGTTCACTTTTATACCTTCACTATTAGTTGCAGAGTTTTCTCACTTTTAGTCCTTTGACTGCCATGTTTCTACTTCTGTTGGAATCAATTTCTTCCAGATTTGGTCCTAGGAAGTCACTTATCCTACAGAAATAATCAATAAGTTGTACAGGACCGGCAGGCAGAAGGACTAAAACTAGCCATAAATCGATAATCATGCACCAAAACAGGAAAAATGAAAGTCCGGGACCAAAAGTGAAAACAATTACCTGATAGTCGTGGGATCATTACCGAAAAACTTTCTTTACATCAAACATGTAGTTGATAATGTTCTTTCGTAGTTTTGTATGTGCAACTGGCAATCTGTGTCTCCCGTGTCTCTAATTCAACATATTTCGTAAGGACAAGGGGAAAAAGTTCCCCGCTGAAGTGGACAGTCCACTTCTAAATCTGTCGCTGAAACAAAGGCCTGCTATCGCCCTAGAAGCATATAAGGGCTTTAGAATGAAATGATTCTTGGATTTCTAGGCGATCAAAGACTTCAAGTTTTCAATAATGGCTTCTATTTGCTAACAGCCTCTTTTTAATCTTACCGGACTCATGTTGTCATACTCTTCATTGTCATTCCATTGCATGAATCTTTGAGTAGTGCTCTTCAATTAAACTTGGATTTCTATCAAATTTTAGGAAGTGCTGGGGATGTCCTTGAAGACAATCCCGTGGGAAGACTAAAAGTTTTTGTTTATGAGCTGCCAAGCAAGTATAACAAGAAGCTCCTACAAAAGGATCCGAGATGCCTGTCCCATATGTTTGCTGCAGAGATTTACATGCACCGTTTCCTTCTATCAAGCGCTGTTAGAACTATGAACCCAGACGAAGCTGATTGGTTCTACACCCCTGTCTACCCTACCTGTGACCTCACACCTAATGGCTTGCCACTTCCCTTTAAATCTCCGAGGGTCGTGAGGAGTGCCATACAGCTCATCTCTGCAAAATGGCCATATTGGAACCGGACGGAAGGAGCCGATCATTTCTTTCTAGTTCCCCATGATTTTGGAGCATGTTTCCATTATCAAGTAACATGGTTTCATTTAATCATTTTTTTATTTTGGGACTAAAGAAGTATATAATTTGTATAGTTCTCTGTGGTTTTGGTTGATCATGATATCACTTTTTTTCTTCGATCTTGCAGGAAGAGAAAGCTATTGAGAGGGGTATACTTCCATTGCTTCAACGTGCCATTTTGGTTCAAACGTTTGGACAAAGAAACCATGTTTGCTTGAGTGAGCGTTCAATCACTATCCCTCCTTATGCACCACCTCAGAAGATGCAGGCACACTTGATTCCTCCCAGCACTCCAAGATCCATATTTGTCTACTTCCGCGGTTTGTTTTATGACGTGAACAACGACCCGGAGGGAGGGTATTATGCAAGGTAAACACCCATTTTTCCATCTCTGCGCTTCATAGTTCATGCACAAAAAAAATCAACGCGACTTAAATATTATCGGTGGTGTGTGTTTGATGTGAAGAGGGGCAAGGGCGTCAATATGGGAGAATTTCAAGAACAACCCACTCTTTGACATCTCAACTGACCACCCGACCACCTATTACGAAGACATGCAACGCTCTATCTTCTGTTTGTGCCCGCTAGGGTGGGCCCCGTGGAGCCCAAGGCTGGTGGAGAGTGTGGTGTTCGGCTGCATCCCCGTGATCATAGCAGACGAAATCGTTTTGCCTTTCGCTGATGCCATTCCATGGGAAGACATAGGGGTATTTGTGGAAGAGAAAGATGTCCCGTACTTGGACACCATCCTCACATCCATTCCTCCTGAGGTTATCCTCAAGAAGCAGAGGTTTCTTGCAAATCCTTCAATGAAGAAGGCAATGCTTTTCCCTCAGCCAGCCGAAGCTGGGGACGCGTTTCACCAGATCTTGAACGGGCTGGCTCGCAAGCTGCCTCATGACAGGAGTGTTTATCTGAGGCCCGGGGAGAAGAAACTAAACTGGACTGCAGGACCTCCTGGGGACCTGAAACCTTGGTGAGGAGTGAGGACCATTTAAAGCTCTATTTTGTTTGTCAATGATCATCAGATCATATTGAAGCTGTAGTTTTATGAACATATAGAATGGTTGGGTTTAGTCTAGGGTGAATTATGGCTTTCATCTACCATCAATGTCTCAACAATCAATCAAAGCATGAGATAACAACAGATCCAGTAAAATCCCATACAGTAAATTCTCGAGCAGATTTGTGTATGTAAATATTATTCCAAATTGGATAGGGCATAAGATAAACAACCCTAAAAAGTTGGGGAAGAAACTGAATTATGGGTTCCGTTCGAGATATGAGTCCAAGACTCTCTTATATTCAACCTATTTTTATTGTTTCTTTTTATTAAAATCAGATAAAAAAACGGGCCTTAGTGCCTCCTCCATTGCAGCGCTTAGAGCTGTTCATCAGTCCAAGACCGGACTTGACCAAACTGAAGACCGAATTGTACAAAATCACGGACTGAAGACCTAAACTTATTTGTTTTTTGACCGGATCGGACCCGACCAAAATACTTAGGACCAAACCAGTTTGGGCCGATGGGACCGAATAAAAATAAATTTTGTAATTATTTTGATCTATTAATTATATTTTAGGCTTTTCAATTTGTACTGTGCAAATAGAAAAAAATAAAATAAAACGGACAAACTAAAATTTGACACGAAACATAAGACTACTTTGTATAATCATAAAAACTAATGTGATACAATTTTTTTTAAATTGTTAAAAAAATTACTTAATAAAAAACATCGTTAATTAAATAAATTAAGATATCTATCAAAACAGAGCATCAACATGTAATATCAAACTTAAAAAGTAGGGTTTTAGTGTTATAGACTTTTAGATCCAATAGAGTTATTAGGTCAAATCGGTTCAAACCTAATTACTCTAGGTTTAGACTGGATCGGACAAAAACCCGAATGCTTAATTTTTTTGGATCGAAGACCGACCCAATCCAAGTTCGATAAGGACCTAACGGTCCGATTCGGTCAACTTTTTTGGTCTAGACATAAACTTGAAGAGCCCTAGCGACGCTTAGTCTTTGCCCTTTTGGAGGTTTTCCCACTAGTTGCCTAAGCCTCGGGGTGAGGTGTAGCTGTGGTTGAATGCCCCTCCTTAACCATGCTAGCTTTCCACGTGGTTTGCTGGGCGGGTTTGCCACCCTCGTAACCTCTAGAATTCCTCAAACACAAATCCCGAAAGATGCTACATTCAAAAGGCTCGTGTCCAAACTTCACACATTTCTTTTTGGAACGGAGGGAGTACAATTTTTTGTCTAGTGTTTAACAATATATGTTACTTTTTTAAAAAAGAAAATGACTTCGATTTTTTTTTAAAAAAAAATATTTGACTAAGACAATGATTTCTTTTAGTTTAAGCATTCTTAAGTGTTAGTTAAGTACTTTTTAGAATTTTAATTGATTTATGATGTTTTTATTATTTATTTTTCAAAAAATTATTTTTTAAAAAAGAGATTTCACTTTTATTTTTAAAATATTTGATTTAAAAAAAATAAAATTACTTAACCATTGATTAATAATTAAAGGGCTCGGTATAATAAACATGAACCACTGCACACTTTTATCTCAAAATGAATCTTAGGACATGGCGTACACGTAGAAGAAAACTAGTCTGATGAGAAGACTAGTGAATGTCGTTTGAGTTGTGTGTTTCAAGTGAATGTCTTCTCATGGATACATTAAAAAAGGATGAGCCATCCAATAGGAGTCAAATGGTCAACACCAACAATGAAGCAACTAACAAAAAAACCAACAACCGGACCGGTGCCCGCGGTTTTTGTACTTTAAAACCCAATAACGTTGTTCATTGAGAATACTCCCTTCGTCGTGTTAATATTTTCTTTCCCAAAAAGGAAGACATGTATAGTTTATATGATTTTTTCCTACTACACAAACTATAATCACACATATTGCACTTTATTAAAAATCTGTGTGTCAAATCAAATATAGAAAAAAAGTTATGGGATGAATGCAATATGCAATACTGTAAGAAAAAAAAAAAAATTCAACCAACTATGATCAGTGCTTTAGTACACGTTATAATAAGACTAATGATATTTGTACCCCGCCCAACTATACACCGGTGTTTTGCACTAGTAAAACAATGGTACACACAGACACAAAATACAAGTGTGATTGCTTGTGGCGCACTTAATCTTGTGTCAGTGTATCTCAATACTTTGTCAATGCATTACACACTGTATAAAGTGGTGTACATTTGTAGTGTGCAAGTAGCACAACATTTAGAATAAAGATACACGTGATATTAGTATTAATTACTTGCTCCATATTAGATGTGTTCGCAAACAAGACAAGAAAGGTGAAGATAAAACACCGATGTTATCCTTCATAAGTGGAGTAACTATACCATACATCAAGTTGTACGGTGTTTCCTATACAACTCCATTAATACTCGTTTTCGAGTAATTGAATACTCATTACTCGTTTTCAAGTAATTCAATATTTATTTTCAAGTAACATAATATTCATTTTAGAATAACTAGTCATTTTTTAGCATAACTAAATTTTAGAAAGAATGCGTATTCAACTACTCAACTGTACGTGTTAGAAGTGAACTTGTTTATACGTATGAAAAACACCGTACAACCGGTTGTACGCTTTAGAAGTGAACTTGTTAGGTATTTGTATCAAATTGAGCTTTGCAATTGTGTTTTTTTAAAGATACACCAATTCGAATGCATTGCTCGGTGATCTTGAAATTAATGCATGCTATCACATTGGAGTCCGCATAAGAACTTCTCCCCCCTGACTTAGTAAGATATCTACTCTCCAAAATTCATGAAAAATTTCACCCAAATTTGAGCACAAAAACATTGACTCTTTGTGTATCATTAAATTAAAAATTGTATGAACAGATGCTACATTGTCAAGAATTCCTTCGAGACAACGCATCAACCGCAAATCTCTAATCTCCTTAATCACATCATTTGTTGTTTCAAATCATCTTCCATTGTTATTACAAGACAATCCTACATATCTCTTTTGGTCATCTTATGTGGGTAGACCATCACACAACCCAACCCACTTCTACCCACATTGAACCTACGTTATGATATACTTAGGTCATAAAAACTTTTCTTATTTTAATTTTTTTGTCGAACATTAACACTCTTTGACTACAAATTAAACATACTTTAAATAAACATATGATATAAAAATTTGGTGTATCAAAACAATATCCTAAGATGAACCCAATTGTATGAAATTTGTATTATAATTAAATATACTTTTCTCACAATTTATGGTCAAAAAGTAACAATGTTTGATCAAAAAAGTTAAAACAACAAAGATTTTTAGAACCGGAAGAAGCCCCATATATTGGGACTGCTCATACCTCACCACAATCTTGCATTATTGTGATATTATTTGCTTTAGGCCAAGCTCTCACAGAGGGGTTGGATCAAACCTTTTTCTTTTTATTTAAATTTTCTTCTACTTCCCAGTGTAAGATGGATTTGGTCCCAACAAAAACATGATAACTAGATCAATCTTTTCTTAAGGAAACTACAAATAAGATTATAAAGAAGCATAGTGTTGACAGCCTAAAACTATCACGATTATGGACATATTATCCCTCCATTCTTAAATTAAATTCTCATTTACTTCCAATGCAATTTAAGATAAAAACTGTGGAACTGTGGTTGAGTTAGAGAGAGGAACTATATGAACACCGCAATTATAAACAAAAATGAGAACTTGAGGCACATGCAAGAAATGAAAGATTTGAACTGGTTAATAAATTCATTCCACCCATAAAAGCTCAAAACCAAATTAAAACTAAGTCACGGCTATATAAACACATATCCACTTACACCACAGCAGTACAATCAACTGGAGAGGCGGTGCCTTATTATGCCCCGCGCCTCATCCAGCACAAAGTTAGCCATTGAGAATTCGTTGCTATTAAAGAATTCTCTTAGATCTGAGATGCTATAGTCAAGTGCCTGCACAAAGAAAAGGAGGGTTTCCGTGTAATTAATACGGAGTACTGGTTACCAACTTGCAAAAAATAGAATCATCATGAGCGTTTCACTGTGTGTATTCGAAAGCCGCACCTTGTTTTGGAGTTCTTCCACTTTCACATCAACATGACTAAAATTTGCAGCAGAACCAGACATGATTTCTTCCAGGTGGATTGCATCCTTCACCAGCCCACGCAATAGATGCATGAGAATTGCATTAAAATCTCTTTTAAATGCCATGTACTTTTTGAAACTCTGCCCAAGAGACAGTCAAAACAGTCAAGTTACAATCGATTGCATTAAGATTTATTCTTCTGGGATTGTGTGATAACACTAATATATGTTTTTTTTGTATTCTCTGTTGAAAAAGTTTAGGGTACACTGTAAATGGGTACGGAGTATAAGAGGTGTTGGTGATGGATTGATTACTACCTTTTGCAAAGCTTTCTGAACCCCGAATTTCTGTGTTGATATAAATGACTCCAGAAGGACTCGAATAGCCATGTCCACATCTTCCTGAGTGACGTGATGTCTAAGGTGCATCCTAGCATGGGCTTCAGACATCCGAATCATAGACTCAATATGTCTCACTGCTATAGGAACTCCTTGTCCATGCTATGTCACGTCAAAATTAAAAAAGTTAATTTCATTTTTTCCAATTTTTGAACAATGAATTCATTAAAAAAAAAGGGAAGCTTTCATACTGAAGATTCTCTTCTTAGTTCGGCGTAAACTTGTGTGAGCTTGTCTAAATCAGCATCATGCAACTTTGGGAAAACATTTAGCTTGGCATAGGTTAGGTACTTCTTTAGCAACTCCTGAGGAATTATCTGTGAACATAAAAACACAAATTCTCAGTTCAACTAGTTTGGATCAAATCTGGATATATCTTGCACAATATAAATTAAAGGCAAAACCTCAGGGTCAGGTGGCAACAAATTAGATTCAAGGTCATCCTGGGAATATGCATCATTGGATCTGTCATCTAAATTGGCACCTTTAGGTGTTGACTTGAAATGACTGTCAACAACAAACCTTGCAAGCATTTCATCAGTGACTGGATCAACTACATCCTGCACAAAATCAGTTATCTCTATTATCAAAAATTAAAATACCTCATATGAGTGTGTACTGATTATTAAAAGGGGTCAAGTTCACTTATATAAAGTAAATCAAGCATAAAACCTTGACAACACAAAGAATATCAAAACGAGAAATAATTGGATCTGTCAGTTCTACATTCTGTGAGAAATTCTTTGAGGAATCATATCTGCAATGATT